CTATAGATCCTTCACATATCCTAACAGAGGGTTTTCCTCAGTTCCTTCAGTCAAATGCTGAGTTAATACTTAAGAATAGATCACATCAATCATCTTCATCTGAATATATTCTTAATTTACAACAACCTAAATATTAACATGTCTCTATTAAGGATTATTTGGCAAAATCAACAGAATAATATTGTAAGTAGGCGATGTTAAATTTTTAGATAAAGATGCTATGATATAAAGAGTCAGAATTTACCTGTACAAAATTAAATGTAAGTGGGAGAATTAGAGTTATGGGAACAGTTATTATATAACAGGAGAATAGCATTAATAGAAACAGATGTATATGAGCTGTGGACTGCAAAGAGGTCTTGACTGTTAGTACTACTACTACTTCTTCTTCTACTACTACTACTACTACTACCACCACCATCACCACCAAATTTTATTTGCAAGTAATAGGGATACTCCCTCACTTTCAACATTTAGTTAAATAGATTCAAAATGTAGTGACTGTTGTCTTGTATGCTGGGTCTGTTTTATCTTCCAGCTACTGAACTATATTATAACTGATAGAGTACTGATTATAAATTTGAACCACATCAGCTAATTATTAAGCCTCAAGTTTGTACTGTCCATTACATTTAACTGACCTCAGTGTACTAAATGCACTCTCCAAGCAGCTCATTCACACATAGGAATATGTTATTTTAAATATAGTGTGTTCATTGATAAAGTTCAACCGTTACTTCCCAGCTCCCAGCAGTAATACAGGTAAATCGATTTTATTGTTTTCATGGAACAGTACTTAACTGATATCAGGAGAACCTTGTAGCACTTGGCAGCAATAGTTTTGTTCAACTTAATCAGTGACTGTACTGTATATTTAAATTCTGGTATAATATGTACAAATATGAAGATTCGGGCCTTGTGAGTGGTAAATAGGACTGCCTACCTGAAGTAACAGTTTTATCATTTTAGGCACTTTCACATCGCTTTCAAGTGCCAATTAAAATTGCTCTGTCCATTCATCCATATGCATGTAACACTTTGGTAATAGGTAAAGAGATTTCTGTGAAATCAGATAGTGAGTAATTTTACTAAAATCTGGCAACACATTCCACTTTTGGTTAAAATCAGACAACAATAACATAAAATTCACATGAAGACCTACATGCACACAGATACTCATTCATTATCTGTACTAATGAATATTGTGTCCTATTACAGATTTATTTATTGACAAAAAATATATACTTAAATATTTTTTTTGTTCATTATCAAACTATGATAAATTTCAAACTTTTTCTCATTGTTAATATATAAAAACTTTAATAAATTATTTTTTAAATGTTTTATGCTATCTGCTTCCCATATCAGGGGAAATCACTGTTATGTAGACTAGATTTATGAATAAATTCAACTTCCCCATTAAGAATGGATAAAGTACGTACTGACAATTTTTCATGTTGCTCATGACAGAGTGAAGAGAACAAAGAAGAAAAGTTTCCACTGAAATTAGAGTTTTGTTTATGTTGCAATATTTTATAAACATTAAGGTTATGTATGAGCAGTGATAAAGAGCATTTGAATGGTGAGTGGTAGAGAGAAATCTGGATGAAGCAGCTTTATTGTATGGTAAATGTCCTGAAATTTGATAGGGATAGTGAAGAAACCCACATTAAACATGAAGTTAACCATTCTTGTTACTAATAAGATGGTATGCTCAGTACCGTAAGGAGAACATAAAGATCCTAAGGTATTCTTAATTTATATCGCAAACAGGACAGATGCAATCACAACAATTTCTCAGTCTGCATACTGTCCCTAGGTTTTTCCATCTGCAATTAAACATTTTGTGTGACTCATGAACACTTTTTGGTAGACTACATCTCAAAATGAAAAGATTAAATAGGTGTTCTCTTCTACCCAGTCACTAGCTTACATTTACAAGCTCTGCCCATAATTAGCTGAATAATAAACATGCTACTTACTGTTTAAATACTCACTCATTTGTAAGATTTTCATGTTGTAGATATTTAATTATTTTTATCTATACCTCTTGAATGTATACATATTCATCACCCTGGACCCTGGTCAGGATCTGTTTTGTTTTTATCAGATATGTGGCCTTTTGCTCTCCAATTTTGTCCTGGGATAAGAATACTTCAAGATTTCAGTTTGAATAAACTTCTCACCTAGAACATAACGAGCTGCATTACCTTTCAGTTTGCTACAGGAAAAAAAGTAAAGCTGGCCCACTATAATATTTGTGAATGAAAATAACAAATCAAAACTGAATTCATGAATAAATTAAGAGCAGACCAAATATGAAAATGCTGATTATCATGCAGCTGAAAGTTTTTCCTTCCTGTCTGTTAACTAAAATAATAAAGATTAAAATATATAGAACTATAAATTTACCTGTTGTTCTGTATGGGTGTGAAACTTGGCTTCTTATGTTAAGGGTGCCTAAGAACAAGCTTGCTGGGAGAATATTTGGTCATGTGAAGGATGAAGTGAGATGAGAATGGAGAAAAAATTTTAATGTTGAGCTCCACAATTTTTGGTCTTCAGTAAATATTATTAGAATGATCAAGTCAAGCAGGATGAAATGGGTTGGGCATGTATGATGTATGGAAGAGATGAGATGCATACAAAATTAAGGTTGGAAAGCCTGAAAGGAAGAGACCACTCAACCTAGGCATTAATAGGAGGATAATTTTCAAATTAATTGTATGTATATCGATTTGCACTGGTTCAATTTGCGCCGATTCAGAATAACGCCGATTTTGAAACCAGCAAGTCAAAAAGTGAAAGAAAAAAGAAAAAAATTACTATTATTTATAACGTTTTACAATGTATCTTGTACTGATCCTTATTCTAAATCATAATTCTTAAATCGCTGATTTTGAATAAAAATTATAAATACAGTCATCTCTGCAATTACAATTATGTTTCATTAACGCGAATTTGCTCCAATGAGATCGATGAATCTGTAAAAGCTGTTTGTGAAATGCAAACTTTTGCATATAGGACACAGTTGGTGAAGGGCCGAGGAAGTGTCAGTCCTAATAAGGAAGAAAGAACTTGTGATCCTTACCTTATTAAAGAAGTTGAACTGTTTGACATATAGGTGAAGACAAAATGAAACCAATGATTCCTTCTGGGACTTCCTTTAAAGCAGAGATCTTATCATGCAAACACTACTTATTAACCATTTGGTCTTAAGGGCAAGACTGGTATACAGACAGGTCAAGGATGGCTGGCAGGACTGGGGCAGGTGTATGCGGGGTGAGGCCACGGAAGATGTTACCCTTTTCATTTGGTGTACATGCCACAGTGTACCAGATAGAAGTGTCTGTAATTTTAGGAAAGAAATGAAAAGGAAAGGCCTATACATATGATCAGAATGCCAGGTATTTTGTGGGCCCTTGAGGGTAATGTCATAGCTCCTCTGGGAATACAGATGGCACTGTTTGCCCTGTCCAGTTAGAAAAATGTTGCAGTTTTTGGTTTCCCGGTCACTGTGGGATTTAGGGTAATGTGGATGCAGGTCCCTTAGCTAAGGAAGGATCAAGCAGTCCATTTCGTATCCCTACACCAGCAATTTCAGCCTCACCATGTGTTGGTAGACTCAAGCTTAAGGAGGAGCTCGAGGAGAGGTACTCCAAACATTGACCCACCACTCCAGATGTGAGGCACTCAAAACCCTTCATTTCAGGCTGTTAATGGGTTTGTTAAATGGACTTTTACTTTGAGATGGAACTTACATGAGCGTTTTGTATTTAAAATGGAAAAGAAAACAAAAATACCAAACAGATGGATTACGTTAAAACAAGTAACATTATTTGGAAATGTTTCAGAATTTAAGTATATTGGAACAACAATAACAAATAGAAATGAGGTCAATTATAAAATTAGGAACAGAATACATTTGGGAAATGCTTGTTTTTGTTCAATTCAAAAACTGTAATCATCCCATTTGCTATCCAAAACATTAAAGATCAGGATATATTAAACAACAATTTTGCCTATCCATCTTGTATAGTTGAAAACATGGCCTCTTACCTAGATGGAAGAACACAGGTTACAAGTGTTTGAAAACAAGTGTTCAGGATGATATTTGGACCTAGGAAGGATGAAATACCTGGAGAATTTGGAATATTGCATAACAAGCTGAGAGAATCCGGATGACAACTGAGCAGAACAAGGAGATGGGAGGATGCTATCAAGATAGATCTTGGGGAGGTTGGCTGTGAGGATGGAAAATGAATGGAGCTGGCTCAGGATTGTGTCTGGTGGCAGGCTTTGGTGTTGTCGGTGTCGGACCTGCGGGTTCAACTGCCAGGTAGTTTGACATTAAAAGATAACTATCGATATCTGCCTTCTGTTATAAAGGTGCTTAACAAGGTAAAATGTCTGATTGTGGTATATATGCAGTGTTACTGGTTGCATTGATAGAAACAAAATAAACAGGACTTCATTCATCTTTGCAGTCTGCAGGGTGATTCCTGTCTTAAGCTGAGGAGCTTATTCTTAACACCATTCCCAATCAGAAATGCCATATAAACACAGGTTTGATTCTCGATGGTTTATCAATATCTGCTTTTTTTTATAAGAAAACAGTTACAGAAGTAATTTCTGTGTGTGTATTCTAGTGACTTCTGAATAAACCAATTTAATTAATTTTTCTGTGAATGTTATGCAGACCACCTGTCTGAAAACATGCATCTACACTTCTGGAAATAATGCACAAAACACTAATTTATAACTAATTCTTACTTTGGTTTTGACTGAAGCATGTAAGAAAATGGGCATCAGAAGATCTTCCCTCAAATTAAATTTTTACATTTGTTTGAGAGACAGAATTGTTTTGTGAAAATCGACCCCATGTGCTTTTTCTTTTTTGTTCTTGATGTATTCAGGAATTTGTTTCGGGTGGCATAAGCTCCTTACATATACCAGTAAGATCTTGAAAGCTACAAGATGGTATTAGTATACTTTGCAAGTCTGTTAAGATACCAAATTTTATTTAGATTAACAAATATATTCAAAATAGCAAAAGAGTTTAAATCAAACTTATTCTATAAAATGTCAGTTTAAACACATGATATATATTGCGTATGAATTGGAGCTACAGCAAAAGTTTAATACTACATTGCTATTAACTTCAGTAATTTTCAATTTGATATAAAAGTAGTTACCACATAAGGTGTTTATCGTGACATCTCAATAAAACTGTGGTCACTTAAGAAATTTTGAAGTACTTGTACTATGGCTTTGAAAATAAGGTCAGATTCCCTTATCCTGTCAAATGATGCTGCTAAATGCAAGTCAGTTTCCTCAAACTTTGAAATACAGTAGATCCAGTTCCAAATCTTTAACACTTCCACATTATCATCGTCAATACTGTTATAGCAGAGATGATTAAATAATTCTTGTCCTTAGATTCTCATGTCTGGTGTTTAGTGTATGACTTCAGCTTTTGTGTGTGAGATGCATTGAATGTTTAGTATTAATCGACATATCAGCAAACATTGCAATGTGTAGTCAGGCAAGTTCTGGAAGTGTTGTTTAGGCAGGCAGTAGGTGGAGAGTTAGATTTGATGGTGCTGACAGGTGGAACGGTAGAACAGCCTTATATAAGGCAACTGTAGTGTTTGCCGAAATGTTGCATAATACTCAACATTTATCATGGCTTACACTCTAAACCTCAAACTGTACATGTCTAAATAATATTGGAAGTGTCTTTAGAACCACATATTCATAAAAATATATGACAAATTACATACTCCATATTTATGTGATGAGTGAGATGTTTAATTGTGCAGCCATATTCACCACACTAACAAGAAACCAGTGTCCCCAGGTTATTACTTCAGTACTTGCTAAAACACTTCATATCCAGTTGCATGTGCTTCTATATTTTAATATAGATTCCAGTGTTCTTTGCAAGTCCTCTTGCCTTAAAATAAATAGTTCACCATTTTACACTTGTCACCACCAAATAGTGTCTGGCTTCTCTGGACAACCAACCCAGTGTTGTGGTGCAGGTAAAGGGTAATGATCATCAGTCCTGATCATGATATTGTCAAATCGCCAAAATAATCTTCCTTTGAAGAAGTAGGTGAAACCATCCGTCCATGTCATTGCAGCGTCTAAGTCAGGAGGAACTCCACTCCACCTGCTAATATTATGGGGGTATCCAGGATCCATTCTTTGTGTTGTCTCATTGTATCTCCAATACATGTCCTTACTGTAATTAAAAATTATCTGTAAGATTTGAAGTATATCTGAGATACAGTGAAATATATCTTCCAGATATCCTTTGCAATTCGTAAACCTGTTGATTTTAACATCATTGTCACCCTTATTTTTTACACGCCATTTTTCACTATTTTTTAAATCTTCAGTTGTTACCAAACTACATGTTTTGACTAGCAGTGTTCAACATCAGGTTCATGTATTGTATGATAGCTATTGCTCTTTCTCAACACAAATGATAGTTTCGTTCAGTGTTTATTTTAAGATAAAATATTGAATAAAATTACTAAATTATTCCATTCATAGTTAAGTTCAAATCACTGAAATTATTATTATAGCATGATGTGTTTAATTTTTATGTTGTAAAAAGTAAAGCAATCCTGTTACAGGCCAATGTTGGCACTTAGGGTAGAGGAGGTAGCTCCTACTCATTCTCAACCTTGGTTCTAGAAGGGGGTAAGTGGTCTGCAGCATGCCCCATCTACACTTTACCCCCAGGAAAGGACTCCGGTACCCATTGGACAGGAGTCTGGGCAGGCCCCAGAGCCAGTCTTGATGCAGAGGCTAGAAGAAAATCTTCTGCCTATGTTGGGGATCAAATCCCGATTGCCCAGCCTGTAGCCAGTCAGTATACTGACTGAGCTACTCAGCTGATATTTTGTTGCTGTAGTATCTGTTATATCTGTGGGTTAGTGTTTCTGTTTCATGTGCTGTTGCTGGCAACAGTACACAAAACAGGCTTTCAGTAAAGGAAGGGAGAGTGAAGAAGTTGGAAACTGCTTATGAGTTGTAGCATTGATGTTGCTGAACTGTATGGTGCATTTGGGATTTTAATATAATTATATAACAGGGTGGAACATACTGTGAGGACAGACATAAAGCAAGTTAGGTTATGGACTATTTATTTATAAAAAGGAAAATAATGTGAATAGTTTATGGTGTTTGTTGAAGAGTAGAAGATTTTGGATTTTTAGTGCTTCCCTCCATTAGCTTGGATAATTAATATCATATTGAGTTTTTATTAAGTTCATTAATTGTGAAAGAAGAGAATTAGTTACCTTATATTTATATAAGGAGTTAGACTACAAATTAAAAAGTGTTGTACATTTGAATTGTTTCTTAATTGTAGTATTAATTCTGTCTGTTGGAATTCATATGATAGAAGGAAATGTTGACAAGTTGATACATTTAGTTTTGATGAAGAGCAAACTTTTAATTTGCCTCAAGATTTGGATTTTGGGATCTTCATACCTACTAGGAAAATGTTACAGTGATTCTTAGTGTGGGTTGGTTCTACCTCTGCTCTTCTACCAAGTCATTTAAATGACTGTGTGGCTTATCATTGTGCATATAGGAACATCTAATAGAACTTACCTATACAGGAATGTTTTGCTGTTCTTATTCCACACCATAACAGCATCTATTTTGTCAATGTACGCTGGTAAACCATAATCTGTCAATGGCCTAGGGCTCCCTTCTATAAAATTGTCACCATTATATACCCAGAACTTCTTTCCTATGGACACACATAACATGTTTATGTAATAGAAATTAAGATTGGACTCCCATAGAGAAATGTTAAAGGATATTGCAATCAATCTGCTTAATAGCTCAGTGAATATATTTATTTTACTGACAAATTAGTTTACAAACACATCCTCATTTATATTGATTGTAATTTTCTGGTTTCCAATGCTGTGTATGCCTGATGATTACTACATTTCAGAGGAATCTGTTTGTTGCCAGTGTTTTCAGGGTAAAGGTTGGGTGATACATTTCCCTAAAACTCTGGTAAACAAGACATCATAATCCAGAAGACCACATTTAAATTTTCTCTACTATGAAAATAACTCTCAAACTCGCAATACATGAAATGGCTAGCATTACTGACAAAGATTCAGTATAGTTTGTCTCAGATGCTCTCTAAATTTAATCTACATGTTATAATAATATGAAATGTATGAACTTATCTAGTGACCAATAACTTATGCATACTTACTGAACTTTAACAACAGAAAAATTTGTTGACCGCGTGCTTGTTAAAACTGAAAGCGTGACATAATTTGTAAGAGTTATAAAACATGTGCATTCACCTGTAAAGAGTACAATGCTTCCATCTGTTTCCCGTTGGTAGGCTGCATCAATTTTTGTAATATATTTTGGAAGTTTCCAGAAGAGTTGTCGGAATTGCACAGGATACCCTTCTTGCACTTCCCCACGTTGAGTCAAACGCCACATGTACTGTAAATGGTTTTTAATTCTTAATTCTGTGATTGTGGGAAATTATTATTATGGTTACAGTGATTTGATTAATAAATTGCTACATATAAAATATGTTGTGTGGAGTGGGAAGTAAACTATTGGCTGTATGATTATAGCATGTATGTGGGTAGCTTGGGGAAAGTGCATTGGCTAACATAATCTGTTTCAAGAAGAGAATCATTACAAGCTTAAATATGATTTGACACCATGCTTTAGTAACAATTTTTATGTTATTCATGTTATGCACATAATCAAACACGGGCGTAAATTTAAATATGCACACAGTCCGTGTTTGTTCTTCATTGAAACCAAGTGGACCATACTCTGTAAAATAGCTGTTCATAAAGTACAATGATTATGTCTTGCTGTTGGCTTATCTGTCTCAATCACGAATGGGCAGTCTAACCATGGCTAAACTTTCAGTAGACATATACACTATGTTCCTAATTTTTCATCCTCTGTGTGGTAATTAAACATGTAAATTCTGGCAGAGACAATGCATATAAGTGAAAATCATATAGAAAAAGTTGTAAAGTTGATCTTACCAACACTATAAAATGTAGTATGTCACTGAAATGTGATGAGGTTACACAAAGTTTTAATATTACCAAACCACAGAAAACAATTTAGTTTCATAGTAAAAAGGACAATGAGGAAAGAGATTACCTTATGTCATCAGATTGCACAGAGAATGTCACAAGCTCATGTAGCTTGCAGACTGTATTTTATGCATGCCTAATCTAGTCTGTGATATACAAGAGAAAATGACTAGCAAGAAATATTTACATTCTTCTAAAGAAATCTAATATCATGGATTATGTGCTAATAGTAGAAAGGAAGTAATGATCATTAAATAATTAATGTTTCGTAAGAAAAATTCAGTGGCCATTTCTTACCCAAGTCTCTCCTGATTCACTGCTAGATGGCTCTAGCAGACAAATCAGGATTGAGTTGAAATTGTGCAGAGGCAGTGGGCTTTTCACTCACTGCTCATAAATGCACACTTCAAAAACTATGAAACCTCCCACATGGGAGGAGGCCAAGGCTCAACTTCAGGCTGTTGCACCATAGAAGAAGAAGAAATAATTAATTGATAGGACATCCATAATTCTCAAAATAATTTAGCTTTAGTACTAACAAATTACAGACACTATGATTAAGTGTAGAGAGAAAGCATTTATAATTATATAATCTCTTGATTAATTATTAGATTTCATAATTTTGAAATTAATGCAGGTACCTCTTCCTTAAAAATAAACAGTTCTCCTCGAAGAACAGCTACAGCATCAAAATTTCCTTCACATATGTCTGGTGTTAATGGTGAAGATGATGTTGGAATTCTGTGTTTGTCATCATGACCCTTATGATCTTCAACAGTTTCATCATCCCCAGTAAATGTTATAGAGTCATCTGTTGTCGGTATGGTAGGGGATAATGGGTATCTACTGCCTGGTGATTCTTCACCACTTGTTTCTGTCTTATCATCATCTTCAGACCTTGTGTTCACATCACTGTCTTCATTGTTATTCCTTCCTTCTTCAGAATCATCTGTTCCTTCATGCTCATCATTTCCTGCTGTTTTCTCATATTCCCCTGCTAAGTGTCTTGCAACTGAAAATGAAGAGGATAGTTACACACTATAAGATGACTAGAAAATACTGTGGTGCTAGAAATCACCAGTGGTTCATTTGTGAATTTTTAAATAGTTATAATTATAGAAGTAATTTTATCACAGTAACAGTAATAGTAGTGTAGTAGGTGCAGAATAACTTTGAGCTTCACTTACACACTAAAAAGGGGAGGAAAGATGGGAAGGGCAAGGAGTTGCAAGAAGGCAAAGAGTCTGTCTTGGCATGTATGCTGTAACTGGAAACATTTTTCCCCCTTTAATTTATACGCAATTGTAGGATTTAAGGTTTTCACAGCGGTGAGTAAGAAGACAGTAATATTTTTCTACATAATTGGTGGCATTTTGATAAACCTTTATACTTTGTGAACCAAAAAACACTAGCAATGCAGGCAAATGCCTTAACCAGCATGTGCTACTTCTACAGCCTAAATGTAATAATTTTACATCTGGTAGTATATGAGGAAGGACTGGGTTACCTCTCCATATATGCTGTTACCTTGCAGTCTTCCCCTCCCCCACACATACGTATTTATCATGTTCATCAAGGCTTAGATTTATGTTTCTATGCTAGTGACATAAAACCATGCAGTAATAGCACTCTAAGTTAACAGTGTATTTTTTTTATTCACATACATGCTAAAATAAAATCATGTCCTTTAAACATATTTCAAAATGTCATTTTTTATAAAATATTTCCCATTTCCACCAGTGGGTATCATGCAATTATATGTTAGTGTAATGTACTAAAAAGAAGCACTTGGACTTAACTGTAAAGCTCGTACATAGCAAGAATGTCATCATAACCAAGTTGGAAGTTGTTCTCATGTCCTTTGTAGTAAGGGAACATGATGGAAGTTGAGACTGGTGAATGAGCTAGACCCAGACTGTGACCCAGTTCATGTACTGCTACAGTAAAGAAGTCTACCCCTAAAAATAATTAATATTGTTATTATTACTCTTATTGTTAATTACATTTAAGTTTATTGGACTATAATGACTGAAGTACAATTGAAATGTATGTAACCATATTCAAACATGTAGAAATGTAAAAATATAGTTTATTCTGTCTTTAAACAAAGGTTAAATCTGTTTATTCCACACTGAATAATCTAAAGTAATTTTCAGATGTGCTAAATTAATGTTCTCATTTTTCTGCAATTTTTCCTTCTTTCTTCTTTACCCATGCCCAAGAGGGGACCTACTGTAATAAACAAGGAATAAATTGAATGGGGAACATTGGTTTCTGATTTATGCTAATGATGTTAATGTATTGGGTGTAAACATTAATACCATATAGAGAAGCAAAGAAATTTTATTGGATGCTAGTAAGGACATTGTTCTAGAAATGAATACAGAAAATACAATGTGTACGTCCATAGCTTGTCACCAGACTGTGGAATAAAATTATAATATGACAGCTAATAAAGCCTTTGTTAATGTGGCAAAGTTAAAATATTTTGAGTTAATGTTGATAAATTAAAATTTGCATTCAGATTAAATTTAGAGAATTCTTGCTGTCATGACAGTGAAGGTGTGGATTGTGTTCCTTCAGAATGTTGGTAGCCATCTAGAAGACCACAGCATCATACCCCAGAAGATTACATTCATTAAAATTGTTGCTGTTGTTTTATATGGGTATGAAACTTGATCTCTCATGTAAAGGGAAAGGCAGAGATTGAGGGTATTTGAGAACAGATAGTAACGGTGATATTTGAACCCATTAGGGATGAAGTGAGAGGAATGTAGAAAAAAGTGCATAATTTGGAGTTTCAAAATTATACTATTCACAAAATATTATTGGGGTTATCATCAAATCATGAAATGTGAGATGGACAGGGTAGCACACATGGCTGCTGAGAATTGCATACAAAATTTTGGTTGTAAAACCTAAAGATAAGAGTATAATTGGATGGCCTAGTAGGAAGAATATATTAAAATGGATCTTAAAGTAATAAGGTTTGAGGCTGTTGACTGGATTTGTGTGGCTCAGGTTAGGGTCCAGTGGTGGGCTCTTTTGAATATTGTGTGAACTTAAGAGTATATAAAAAGCAGGACATTTTTTATTAACTTTTTTTAAAGACTCTGTGCCACAGATTGAATGAATTAGGTACTTATAAAATTAAGTTAAAAGACGGTAATGAGTTGTGTCTCACATTTAGAACAATAAAGTGCTAGGGAATGTCACCATACTTTCCCAACATTACATTGTTATAAGAAATCAAGTCAAACTATATTTTTAGCATTTCTATTTGTACAATTCCATTGCAGTCAGTTGAAGGAAAAAATGGTTTTAGCCTTAAAGTCCCAGGCTATATAATATATTTACCATCTGAATCTGCGCTCATTACAATCTTCCAGTCTTCATCGTCATCAAAATGTATGTCGCCACCATAACTGTCCATTTCATATGGGTAGAAGGCATGAGCTAATATATTACCAGGTCCATCAAAAGGAAACCTGTAAAACAAAATTGTGGATTACTAATTTTCTTCACATCTTCATTTTATTTGAATATTCACTGGTTAGGCAATTTAATCTCTGTATGAGACTCATAACTGTATTTTCCTTTTATGATTTTACTAAATGCTATTCAGAACTCTATTCAGTACAAGAATAATGGAGTATATAGGAAACTATATTTTACAGTACAATGCACTTCAATAGGGCAGTCAAGATATTTTGATTGTTTTTATGACTAATGAATCACAACACTGTAATATTTACACACATACACATGTACATACAAATTTATTTATATTTTTATAGCTCTGGGTATGAAAGAATGTTATTCAGTAAGCCTTGCAGGAAACATATGAATTCTTAAACTATAAATGTTTACTTTTTACTTCACTTTTATACTCTTTAATGAGTATGAATGTACATTTCTGTGTGCATGAAGATTGGGTGCTTAGAGTGTGCACATGAGGAGTTTCCACTTATTTTCAATTGCTGTTCTTCCATCTCTGCAGGAAGAAACTAACTCCTGGAGGCCTGTGGGACAGTAGTAATCATAAAGTTAAGCAGCGCCTCACTTATCCTCAGATTTTAAAACCCTTACCCATCTTGATGAGGTCCCCTCCCAAATGCTATTGTAATGTCTGCATTGGGATCTTGAGTATGATGGAAATTGAGCCTTGCATATCCACTCCATGCTTTGAAGGCTTTCTTCATCTCATTTACCACATCTTCCTCAGACAGCTTTGGTGACCAGTTAGCAACACTTTAACAGAATCAGTCTTAGGAGAATTATTCTGAAACATGGTTTTGCTGATATTTTAGGTTTCTAGATATGACCTTGAATTTTTTATATATACACAGACCTTCAGGTAACTGAAGTATGTGCGCTATAAATTGTTGGCCTTTAGCAATACTGATTAAATATGAAGAAATGCCTGTGTATAGGTTCCATGCAGATGCTGTTCACTGTAAAATAAAAATCTAGACTAGTCTATTATGAGAAGAGAAAAAGTTTATTGAAAATAAAGTTGAAGTTACATAATAATGATTTGATTGAATTTTTAAATGATTGAAGTACCAAATAATTTGAACATCCCAATAGTAAGAAGATTGGAAAGGTGTAATCTGTACTGGAGTACACTAAGTTTTTCCAAATTCATTCTTTGCACCTAGGCATTATGAATCATTGTCTTTGTTCCAAGTAGATTTGATGAAAACATTTAACAGTATTAAGTATAAATATGCCACTCTGAAGTCCTGTGGTAACTATATATACCACCGTCTTGGAACTCTGAATTTCGCTGAAAATGTATTTATGAGTTTCATACAATTACTGCAATAAATACGGATTATTTCCTTAATGTCATAAACCAACTTACACATGTCAGGATTTATCTTAGCCTTTTAATTTTAAAGAAATGTTTTCACAAAATAAAATGTCTGTTTTGTTTCTAACTTTTCAAATCACTTGTTCTTAAAGTCTTCTTTAAGTTCTAAAATCACCCTTACAGTTCAATGCAAGATAATGCTACATTACTGTACTAAATTCATGTGCAAATAGTTGTGTGATCCAATACTCTTAAAGTCTAAATCTTTTTATTGTTCCATACAGGCATCATGTTGTGTTACATTGTACAAAGGATTACCATGACAAAAATTCTATATTTTTTAAGATCTCTTACTATACATCATTTCAGGGTTCAAGTGTCCGCCATATTGTGTTACCGAAGTACAAGTTTGGGACAGCCTCCATTTGCACAATGTCCATATTAAATTTAATTCAAATCCATCCAGCGGTTCTAGAGTTTATATGCAAACAGACGGAATCAGCCCTATGTGTGTTCATTTCGTGCAAATAACAGAACAAATTACTGTGTAATGCTTATCTATTGTGGTTGTACGGTTGGCTAGGAATTCCCCATCTAGTCACTTCTGCGCTCAGAAATACATGTAGTTTTGGCTATGGGACTTACAAGTAAGTGATATCTCGTTTCTTCCACCCTTCAGCTCCCACAATAAATCTTTTTCTTCTCTCCCCCTTGTGACGTACTATGTCGGGGACTCCACAGCGTTTTGCCACCATTAACTAAGAAAGTAAAAACAAGGTTATAAGTCAGGTGTTTATGAAATATGCGGACAGTATCGGAATTTGGATTTCGTAATGTGACTAACAACTCTTAAAAATCGACCAATTATAAAGGCCTCTTTAGACCTGTTGAAATACGGAAAAGTATTGCATTTCCTTTACCAAGGTGACAGGAAACAGCCGTTGTTTATTCTCGGAATCAAATAAAACCACAAAAAACAGTGTATGGGTGAAACATAATTGCTGGCCAATCAGAAAAGTGGCAGATGTAGTTATAATTTTTCTGAGTTGTTAAGGACCAAAATGCCGTGAAATGTTTGGGGGCTGTGCCGCTGAAAGTAGGAAAAACCGGTAACAGACACAGTGATCGCGCACAACGGGAAAGCCGTGCTGTGCCTCTAGCACAGCCCCCAAATATCCTCACGGTATTATATATAGCATAAAACAACGGAACGAAAAATTAAGAAAGCATACTTAGAAGAATGGACTTAAGAAATTTAAGATAAATTGAGCCTGAACGAGTTGCAGTGACGAAATAATTAAACAAAGTCTTTTGCTAAAGAACTTCATGAATTATATTTTTTTCGTGATCTTGTTTCTTCCTTTCACCACCGCGTCTAGAACGGCGCAGGGGAATCTGGAGCAAAGACGACTTGCCACATTACTCATCCTATCAACTTACGTGTTCTTTGGTTGCGTTCACTTGGACAGATTCTCTGGAACCAAACTAGGCAGCCGAAAATGGACATGAGATGCGAAAATTGGAATCTTGGAAGTTGTTTAAAAAATCTTAAACAAGAAGGTTTGAGGATACACAAGTTTCGTCTGGCTCTGGTCGAGTTATTGTTATCACGGCTTTATAAGAGGCGGGGAATATTCGAGTTGTTTAGCCGCTACAGAAGCATACATCTCGATACAGTTAATTAAAGTGAACAGGCATAACGTTAAGTCGTTAAAAGAGCCATTTGAAGTTGGACAGGGTGTGCAAGAAGCATCTGAGGAGCAAAGCAAATATTTTAGCACAAAAAATAATTACCTGAAAGTCGGGAAGGTAACACTGGAATGGAATCAGAATTTTAGCGTCGATTTTGTATCGATTTTATTATTCTGGATCAGAGTATGAACCAGCTGTTAGAGTTTAATTAGTCAGACCACCAATCAGATATTTGACGGTGTTTTTGAATTTTACCTGAAGAGTTGCGTTGTCTAACATTCCTGTTTGCGGAATATCACCAAATTTTTGAACATTTTTTATGGCTTCTACTATAGCTTCTTCGCTGTACAGGGCTTCAGAATCAGGTGTGCCCTGTTCTAAGTAGCCAAACTGCTTCATGAATTTCAGCTGAAAATATAAGAGTACTTTATATAGCATTAAAATAATAATATGTAGACGTCTGTGCTGGTCTTGAACACATTTTTAAATTTCTGTGAAAAGTATATATGAAAAAAAAAATCGTAAAAATGTGTATCCTATACCAAGTCTTGCGTTACCACGTTTATCATTTATCAACATCAACCTAAAAATATTCCAGATTTCACGTAATCGCATCTTTCTGAAGGTTTTTTCATCACATCAAATTTTACTGTCGTAGACTGGGGGGGGAGGGGGGGCAATATGCGAATCCCATTCTGAAAGTTTACACGACTAATTTGTAAGGAAATTATAAATTTCATCAAAAACTGCTCTTAGTTGACAGACACACGTATTATCTGATTCTTTTCGGATAAAAAGGTCTCCGATCCTAGGTGGGATGAACATAACATTCGTTCCGCAACTACACGCTGTTCTGAACAGTGCTGATTAGTGAGAACAGACTAGGCTTAGTGGCTATATCTCCTGCACCATTGAAGCCAACAGGCATTACTCCCTTCTAAAGGCGTTCATAATATAATCCATTTATTAATCATTTCTATAGACACAACCAATAAACAAAGACCAATACACCCTCCCTCAATAAACAGCACCTAAAATTTAACCGGTGCATCAAATATTAATACAATGTCCTTAGACATTTCTCTCGGGTCTTTGACTTGTTACGTAACTCAGTTATATAGTGCAAACATCCAGTGGTGTTGATGATCCTTCATCACGCCGTTGGTTTCCTGACGAGAATGTATTTGAGGTTCTCATGGTGTTGAGTACGAAGACGGATGTAGCGCCGTGTAGTCTGATATAAGAATACTAGTATTTCAGAGATCCTTGCTGCCTCCACCATCAGGACAGTGAGTGATTTATTATCCTGATTATGGAGACAGTAAGAACCTATGAAACGTTGGTAATCTACCAGATTACACGGCGCTACAACCCAGAATACCAAAGCCAGATTCAAGATTCACTCAGTCCATCTGACAAGTCTTTCTGCGAATCTGTCATTTCCGTATTACTGAATCCTTATTTAGGTCTACTCTTCAATTATTGACGAAAAATGACCTGATTTGTTAATAAAGCGTCCCTAAACAATCTCCCAATTAAGCACGTTGTTCCGTGAGATGCTAGTGGGTTAGAAACATGTGTACGTACCGCTGATGAAGGAGGAAGCTCTGGGCGTGTGGGAATTGGGACACTAGTCACTTGCGCCAGTAGACACCAGCACAGCAACACTACGATTCGGACATTCGACATCGGAGCGACAGTCTTCTGGATCATCTCCAATATGAAAAGTCAGAGAATTCAAGAAAAGATCCTTGTTTTCCAGCACCTAACTGCACAATGTCCCTTCATGAAATTGATTTATCTTACACTGCTAGACGTAATTGAACAGAAGCAGGACAATTACATCGAAACAAAAGTAATTTATAACCTCCAACTCAGTATCCAAACTGGGTATATCACTTGTTATTCTAACCCAAAATGCAGGCCTGCAGTGACCAGATTTCAAAACAAATATCAAATTGCTAGTATCTTGTCATGACTGTCGGATATTTCTGTCGCAATTAAAACAACTCAAAATGCGCCATCGAAACACTTGTGTTGATAATTCGAAACTCAGAACACGAGGAAGCATCCGACTTGACGGCTGGAGTAAAAAACCCCTTCTGTGACGAGGTTTTAAATGCGCGGTCGTTATATGGCAACAGCTGGGCTGAAGGTCGAGTGTTCCGGGGAGGAGCGAGGGCTGTGAATCATACACACGATTCTTCTTTAATTTATTGTAGGGGACAATAAAAACCGAATATGTGCGCTGACGGCTGTAATATGCGTCTTGTTTGCGTATTTAAAGTGCGTTGTTCCGAGGTCCACAGTGGCTCAGATTAATTCTTTAAAGCAATGAACTCGCCTGTACGTATTACATACTTTAACCTTTTGTCGTCGAAGCTCGTCTAAATAATATTTATAAAGTCAGTCCGTACCGCAAATAAAACACAACTGGTCAATGGCTAATGCTGTTTAAGTAATCCCTATTCACGCTGAGAATCATACAAGACTCATAAATACAAATGCACACTTACTGATTGTTAGAGCAAGTGGTACATATAGTTTCCACTGGACTATAAAGGTTAACACTCAGTAACTTCACACATTTTATTTATAAGTTTCATATATTTTGCAGAATAAACATAGATTATTTATTTAAATATTATTAACCAGTTGTAACGGATATGCGTTTTGTCCTCTTTGAGGTAGGAAAAGAGATTTTTGGTATTATTTAGGTGGACTGAGCGCTCAAAAGTGTTAAAATAAATAAATACGCGTGGCTTTATTAAGAGCCATAACCACGTCCTCAGTGCAGTGCTTTGTCCACCGTCCAAGGTTGTTAACCTTACCATCGTCATAACCCTACAGAAAACCTTATAATTAACTTTAACCATTTGCGACTATTGCATTTTCATTTGTGGAATTAGATTCTTGTGGTTTGATTCTCATTTCAAAGATCCTGAATTGTCCCTGGGGTTGGCTATTTTGATAGAGACTTGTAGTTTTTCTTTGTTCATTAAAGTCCGTGTTTTTAAGTTTCTTAAAATTCATTATTTGGCGATTATTTGCCAACGGTTGCCCGAATGTTCTTCCCAGGTAAATAGAAAGTTACAGACAAACATTTTGTCGTGATTTATTAAATTATTTAGCCTGTGGCAGTATTGTTTAAACAGAGTATCTCTCTAAGATTTTTAATTTACTTTACAACAACACAGATTAATAGCAAATTATATATTTTTTTAATTTTACGTAAGAAATATTAATTTATAAATTACCGTATTAGTATTCACAATTTTTGTTTTGTTCTTATTTTGACATAGCAAATATGAACTTAGGGTAAATGAGGGAAGGGTAGATTATAGGGGTAGTTTAGAGTATTACAAATAATATAGAGTGCTTAAATCTCGAAAAGGATTAACAAATCTGAACGGTATGAACATCATACTGGAATTTTCCCAGGATCGTCAATACAGCCCGCTATCAGATCGACCTGGTGTCAATTGTATTTATTTCTTATTCTGTAACTTTAATTTCCTTCCGTGGGTTCACCCAAGTGATAACTTTCTTTCTCAGAGACTGTCTTCTGTCTCAAGTGACAAACGAAATTTAGTGTATTCCGGTATTGAAATTCGGTCCACGGCGCCTCAGATTTCAGTTTCGCAATATTTTGCTGCATCTGTAATTTCAGATTCAGTTTACATGATAAAAGGTAACATAATACTGAACGTACATTGTTACTGTCAGTACAAGATTTGTCGTGCAAATGTGTTTCTTTTTACAGTTTTAGGCGCTTACCATATTACGTTTTACTCCAAATTATTATTATTTTATTTGTACAGGTTTTCCCGTCCTAGGCAACTACCTAGTTTGCATTGTGTATGTGTTTCCCAATTAGGATTTCTTCTGACAAACAGACGAAGATTGCTTCCAAAATTCGTTGCAATTACCATTTCCACTACCATCATTACCGCCGCGCGTACAAAGTTTCTTAACCAAGTTAATTGCGATGTGTCTTTCAGAATTAGATGACGCTCTACACTGGTATTCGGGAAAATACCCGGTGTTGCCGGCTAACTGACAAAGGTGTATCGTAGTTTTCCTCAGCCTCCTAGGAGAATTCTTGGGTGTTGTCTTAAAATAGGTCATTATTACATCATACATGACCATTACCCCGCGACTTGGAATTAAATAACTATAACGTCTGTAGTTGAAACAGCGATGTTCAATAATATCTGAGTAATTAATTACCGTGTTGAAACCGGAGTTTCTGTCAGTGTCGTCTAAATATTTCTTTCCGTTACAATATGGCGACAGAAGTGTTTTCAGCGGAAACGGAACTTTAGTAAAGACAGGACTCCCACTAGAAGAAAGATTATAGGAGAGGAAGCATGAATAATATGCTTTGATTCATTATTTCTTAGGTTCGGCATATGCAGTTAGTGCACTGATGCAAGTCGAAAGCCCCTGGGAATGTCCGTTCCCATTGTGGTCGCTGGAAGGTACAACAGAAACCAAGATGTTGATGACGTACTCAGAATTATATGTGACCTCTACCGCCAATTTTTACGTTCCTAACCTGTTTCTTTGTTTCTTCAGAACCTGCTTGCACTCAGATTACGCTTCCAGAAAATCACAATAGCTACCTTTTACTCTATTAGGTTTGTAATGACACATAGTTAAAACAGTCACAACACAGGCATTAATCCAGTCATTCGTGTGAGGCCCAAAGTCGACTGCGGAAGTGTAGGTGGCAATGCTGAATAATCCTTCACTATCCATCCTTCTGCATGCCACAACAAAGTGTGGAAATATGTCGAGAACAACAACCCTTTAAGCCCATATGTTCCACTTGCTTCAACAATCAACAACTCTGCATTTTGTATTTATGGGGTTTAAGTGATTCTCAATGTAAACTAACTAACTAACTAGATGGCTTACCGACCCCGAAGGTTCATCACCGAATTAACCAAAGCCCTCCACCGGACTCTGTCCTGGGCCAACAAAATCCAGTTTCCTTCAACTCCTATCTCCCATAGATCCCGCCTGAGATTATCCTCCCATCTACGTCTAGGTCTCCCCAGCGGTCTCTTCCCTTCAGGGTTCCCAACCAATACCCGGTGCACAACTCTTGTCCCATCCATGCGCGCTACATGTCCTGCCCATCTCATTCTTCTCGACTTAATCACCCTCACAATACTGGGGGAGGAGTACAGATTTTAAGCTCATCATTATGCAGTTTTCTCCATGCCCCATCGTCTTCCCTCTTAGGCCCAAATATCCTCCTCAACACCCGATTCTCAAACACCTGCAATCTGTGTTCCTCCCTCTGAGTGAGAGACCATGTTTCGCACCCATACAAAACAACAGGCAAGATTATTGTTTTGTATACTTTAAATTTCAGGTTCTCACTGTAAACAAAGCTTATTTCTTTTCACAGCATTAATCAGTAGATTTTTATTTCAGATGTTCCAATGTGTGATATTAATCCATTTCCACACATAATTTCCACTAGTAGGATCTGCAGATTCCTACTACTTTACATTTACTCGATATTATCTCAAGGCTCTAGAAACTGACCTTTTCGTGAAGGGAAATTAATTGCTTAATTCTCTATTTGTGATCGTAAACGTATAAAAAATATATACCTGACGTACATAATTTGTAGGTACATACAAAAACTATTGCTTTAATAAAAATTTTCTAAGTTCTGTTACTAATTATCAAGATCCTACTAATAATGATATATCTCCGAGTTTAGAACTACCACCATGTTTGTATTCTTAACATATAGAAATGTCTCATACAGATTTTTAGGTTAGACATATAAAAGCAGAGTTGCGTATTTATCTGAGTTCTGTTGGCACACAGAATTTCAGAATCCTAAGCTAATAGCTAACAGTGGTGCTAGTATATTTCTCCCACCTCACAAGTTTTCGAGACCATCACGAAAAAAGCTTTGTATGGCAAGATACTAATATAAGTTTACGAATTTGTCAGTTAGTTGAAAATTAACCAAAGAAGAATTTACAAGAACACACGGAGATGCATGTAATAAATCCATTTCTCTTTTATAAAATAAGAAACGTGAGTTAAAAGTGACATATGTTGCATTTAAGTTCAGTTTGTGTTAATCGAAATTGTTAGATGCGTTAAGAATCGCGAATAACCAGTGAAGTTGACTCAGTTATAAATTAATCATAGAAAAGCTATCGCTAGTTTTTGGATTCGTATTGTCTTTACTCTGGTGGACGGTAACATTCCGGTTCCGACACTGCCCGCTTATCGAAGAACTATCATCCTCCCAACTGACTTCCGAAAATTAATATTGTGCATTGGTATTTTACTTTTATAGTTTCGGATTTAGTTACAATGATGAAAGATATTGATTGTACATTGTTATTATTTTACACTTCACACAAAATACGTACCTGTACTAAAAGAAGAACACATTACAATACAGAAAAAAATTTCCCGCTCATTCAATTTAGCAAATGTAGAAAAAAGTTTCTTAAGTTCAGTGTTTTGTGAAATTTCGTATTTTATCAACGAAGTAAATTTAAACGCCAAATCTTACAAACTTAAAATTTGACCCATTCTTTCTTGCAGCATTGGGGAACAAGTGTGTGTTTTGATCAGCTTTAGCTCGGAAAGGCTTTAAGAGAATGCTGCAAGCAACAAGTCCACTGTCTTTCAGCTTGTATTTGCATCCAAAGTTCGGTGCCATTTTTATGATGCCAGCTTTGGAACTCGTCTTTTCTCACTCATTCATTTTATATCTCTTCCCTAATTTTGTCACTTCAGGTAACCGCCTGTTCCTGAATCATGTTCAATAGTCAGTCACATTATGATTTTATTTAAGATGCTCTCACATTTGAATTGTGTGGCATTACAAATTTAATTTTAAGGGACGCTTCTAAAAAGCCGCTGCTTCCGAAAATGTACACCCTTTTGATAACGCCCGGGGCAGTCGAACACCATCTGATGTTTACAATGTATTACTCTAAGATCCTTCAAAAAACTCGCAGAGCAAAGGAAAATAAACACAAATTTATGAGGCAGCCTAGAGACTAGAATGTCTGTGGCTTTTAAAATTATAATCTCTTACTTTCCTGAAGCTAGCACGCAGCTGGTCTTGCCGTGTTTCTTACCAACCGTGGATTATCGTTACCATCAAAGCTCAGGTTTAAGACAGTCGTTTCATATGCAAAATGGCATACAGAAGTGAGTTGAACCATTTACTGTGTGAGATTTGAAGTTTTCGTGGTCGTCATAGTTCAGATTGTGGCCTTGTACCAAGATTACACAACGTCACAATCCACACACAGAAAAAAATATGTGTATATATATATATATATATATATGTAGACCTAAAATAATAGATGCGTTTTTGGTGCCAAAAATAAGTTTCTGGGTATTAAATGTTGTCAAGAACACACCCTTAAGGAAGGGCAGAATTCCATGCTCATTTTCTGGACTGAACATTTTAGCCCTGAGGATAACGCTTCTGACTTGTATTTACAAACATCGGCCGGTCACCCTGCGTGAGGTTTCTGTTGATTCTCTTAGTCCCTTCACAGAATGCAGAGGCAATACTCTGAAGTAGAAATATAAAACAGATTAGTTATTTAGAACGAGTAATAAATTAGGATTGTGACGGAGAAACAAGATTGTTACTAAGAATAAAAACAGACATTCTAAGTCCCTTAGATAGAGCTAGTCTCTGTCACTGGACGTTTTACACTTAAAATTATTCATTGTCAGGACTTTTTCCATCGTCTGTTCTTTAAAACCACGACGTTTCGGAGGCTGGTTCTGTTTCCGTCTTCAGGTGAGAGGTACCTACTCCGTTGGGTCCCTTAGATAGAGCTAGTCTCTGTCACTGGACGTTTTACACTTAAAATTATTCATTGTCAGGACTTTTCGGAAACAGAACCAGCCTCCGAAACGTCGTGGTTTTAAAGAACAGACGATGGAAAAGTCCTGACAATGAATAATTTTAAGTGTGAAGCAGTTTAGTTCCGAATGTCACCACAAAGTGAGCAATATATAGCGTGCCCCGACACTGACGACGACATGTCGTTATGATTATTTTTGACAAAAACAGTCTGTTTCCTCTGTTTCAAACATGGATATACTTACCAATTTTACGGGTTTGAAAACATTTGACTTTGAAACTGTTTTAGCATGGTACATATTCATAATCAAGGCCTACATTTTTCATATCGCAGATGTATATTTCCAGTGCATTGTGTCAAGATTAAATTTGTGCTCGGAGAGGCATCAGAATCAGAGATCGCAAACACCAAATCGAAAAGTCGTTCTACTGTTAATCGATTTTGTAAGAGAACTTAATGTCATGAAGGCACGGAAATTTAAACGCCGCGACAATTTTAATGACAGTATGACGCAATGAATACGATGAAATAACATTAAAATCTCTACGAACCGGATCATTATGCCGAAAATATCTTTAAAGACTGTGTCGCATCATTGTAAAGATGCAGTTGTTTACAATACAGCATCAGATAAAGTATAAACTGTTATATCCGCACCAGTATTTAATCTGCCATCACAACATTTGATAAACATCTGCCTTCTGGTAAGATCTTACGACA